ATGTATATATTATATTGTATTATAGAAATTCTACAGCTAACAGACCCTTTTATTACCCAGCTTACTGGGAGCCATGTTTCCTTTACCCCGTATTATTTATGCGATGGCATCCGACGGACTAATATTCCAGTGGATGGGCAAGGTCAGTTCGCGATTCCATACACCCCTAATAGGTACCTTTTCCGCAGGATTTCTAACAGGTTCGTATCCACATTGCCTTTTTTGCCGCACCTTCATATCCTGCTCTTCCTCCACAGGATACTATTTAACTAATAATATGTATTACTTGGTGAGTTTAGGAGTGCTAGCCGCGATATTCGAATTGGATCAACTAGTGAGTATGATGAGTATCGGAACGTTGCTCGCATATTCGATTGTCGCAACCTGTGTATTAATTCTTCGGTAAACAACGTCTCGTTCATTCCTACCACACGATGATATACGGAATTAGTGATTACAGAGTAATCGATAACGCGATTGAAAATCCCTGTAATCTTTACAGATACGAAGAGAGCGAGGCGTACGAGAAAAAAGGAGACCGTGATCCAAGAACTTTCAAGTTCATTGTGAAACAATTTATTAACGCTAACAAGTTAAGTCATTCTACGAAATTAACATCTCAGATCGTTACGTGTCTTGTCGTATGTTACGGTAAGGTTTACCCTCGTTTTATTATACTTCATCTTCCTATCATACTTCAACGATCATACACAACTAATGTTTTCTTCACAGTTGTTCTATGTGTTTGCATCGGTATAATGGTCTCGATTTTTTTCGATGAAATAACAACCGGTAAAATTGCTTTTGTTTCTCCGTTAGCAATTCTAGTACTAGTTTTAATCCTTGCGCTTATTTTTATTTACAAACAACCTACTTCTGGAAAGAAGCTTCCATTTTCGGTATGTATTGTCTTTTCGTAATGTCAACCCTGACGTGAATCAGGATTTAACGGTAGTTCTTATCGTATAAGAACGTGTGTCGTCCCTTCAGGTTCCACTTGTACCGTTTTTACCTGCACTCAGTATTCTCATTAACATTTATCTCATGATGATGTTGGACAAAATGACGTGGGTGAGATTTTTAATATGGATGGCAGTCGGTAAGTGGGTGAAATATTTTAAAGGATGAATTATTACCCATTGGTCTACAATGAAAATTAATATCAATTACTCTCGCAGGACTCGCAATATATTTCTGTTACGGTGTTCGGCACAGTAAAATTAGGAAAAGCACAAAACCTGAGAATGGTGGTACCACTAAAGAAGAAACATGGGAGAATAACTTTTCCAGATGTACGTGATATATTTTCTTCTCTATTTTATATTCGTAATAAAAATTTCATATAAACGTATAGACAACAAATTTACTAATTAAATTAAATTGACTGAGCTGAAAGGACGATAGTAAGTAACATTTAGAAACAGATACAGATTTATGTCATAATCCAGTTTACAAGAAAAACGAAGAACTTCAAGTTCTTATCACTGCTGAGAACATTTTGAGCTATGTTCAATTTCTTTTTTTTTGCAAATGTTTCATACGCTCTTCTATGGTATCCTTGCAGATAAACATGAGGAAAAGTACTCGGAATAAGGTAACAATCTTTTCTACACGTCCGGACAGTGTCAGAGTGTAACGAGAAATACCAACTTGTATTTAAAAACGTGTTTTGCTTTGTCCGAACTGACAGATTCTATCTTGAGCCTGTACTTTTAATTGTGAATTCCAATGAACGTATTAGCACGTTGACCGCCGAGCGAAATTTGTTGGTTATTCCACAGCGCCGCATTTCTTCATTTCTTCTTTTTGTGTATCATATGCGTACATTTTTTAGATACTTCATTTTTCATGGTGTATAAAATAAAATTTTAAAATCCTATCATTAAGTGTCGATAATTGACACGCAATTGCATGTGAAAACTATATGCGGCGGTCAACGTGTTAACAATAAACGATTACCGCTTACCGGGGTTAATCCAACACGCCCGGCGGTAAGCGAGAGTAATAATATTGTTAAGTGTCGGCGCTTCTTCGCCAACAATAATCAATTAACAGTAACAGTACACAAGACTACAGTAGACTCCCGTATAACGCGAGGTCCTACAACGCGAATTCCTATAACACGACAAAGATATCGCGACTACTGTGTTCATATAACGCGATTCCTCGTACAACGCGGTAAATAATAAAATACAGGAATTCTCCGCATTTAAAAATTAAATCTACTTTAATTGAGCATTACACTGTTTTCTTCATCGTTACCGACTCCTTACGTTTTATAATTTTTTTCTGTTTTTTGTTGATTATTCTTTATATAAGAATATACTTTGGAAAAGTTGATTATACTTTAGATTATTCGCGTTATACGGGGAAATCTAATTACATACAACGCGTAACGTATTAACGCGTTATGCTGGAGTCTACTGTATTGGTTTATTTACCGACTCGGTTAGTCGATAGACTCGGTCGGTAAGGACCGACAGTCTTCTTTAATTCCGTAGGGAGCACCAGTAGGCCATGGGTTTATATACGGTGTTCGCAACAATATTTTGGGATCGCTATTTAGAGAATTAAACGAATCGATTATAGCCTATCAGAATATATAGGAATTAAACGTTTGGACATAATCAAAAATTCATATTTTAGCGCAACTACCTGTCTTTTCTTTTGAAGATACTGAAAGTAGCGCAATGTATCGAAGTTACATGAGACGCTATAATATTTATAGCGTTTCCTCCATCTTGTAAATCAGCCATGTGTTCTTTCTCTGCTCTTTGCGCCAAAAATTGCGCGAATAATGTACGAGAATAAATTAATACTTTTTCATGTAGCAACTGTTGTCTTAGAGTCGCCGAGGAGATTTTTCTTTTCATTAAACGGGAGCCTAATTGTGTATCGTCCCTGAATATCGCGCAAGGTGTTTTCCACGAAGTATTTCTCGCACTCTGTCTCTTCCGCGGATTCGATGGTCCAGAATTTACTAATTTGTTTATCAAGTGACGTGGCCACAAAAATCCGGGTAAACTATGGTACACATCTTTAAACATTCGTTATATTATGAATGCTCCAGGAACATCCAAAATTGATTATATTAATAGGAGATGGTAAGTAACGAAGTCTGTATGCTCATCAAGTCTTTTATTACGAATCACTGACGCCTTGCCATACATTCCTTACGCGACGGGGTTTTCTGAGAAGTTAAAGAAGGGATATCCGGGGTACCAAGTAAAGATAATGTATAATATAGTGGGAATGATCATGATAATAGTGATGGTATACAATCGGGTAACGTGGGATCCTGTCATAACATGACAAGTCCTACTTGCGTTATTTTGTGTTGGTACATTCGTCTGTCCGGTAACAATCCAGCTTATATAGTCGCGTGTTTTGAAAAATGATTGATCGATGGCCTAGCTTTATTTGCCCTGACTAATAAACTATAAAACAGCGTGTTACCAATTAGAGCATATATCTCCCTTGGCCTATGAAAATTCGAATTCGCCAACCTTACTTGAGTCGGTAAACTTAGCGCAGGGGTCGGCAACCCAAGTGTCCGCCAAGCATTTTTAAAGTGCCGCCACTGTGCCAGATATTTTTACAAAATGGTTTTAAAAGATGATTGTGTGTAAGATGAACTAGTAGAATTTTGTATTAATAAATTCATTTCAAATAAATAAGTATTGAATTAAGCTTACAACTTCCCCTCCAGTAAAATTAAGGTGAAGTGCCCTTTATCACAAGCCAGCCATTCCGAGTGCCCTTTTTAATCGAAAAGTTGCCGACCTCCGACCTAGCGCATCAACGTTGACCTGTCGCAACGGTAACAGTCCCGTCGTGATTGACCGCAAGGCAATAAATGTACCTGCGTCTCGAATGAGCTATTTGTGCCCTTTATTTTGGTTTTGACGAAGTCCTCAGCGTGTGTATTAAGTTGACCTAGTCCGGAAAATGAAAAATCTATCTTATATTTGTGTAATTTTAATTTATCCGCGAGTTTTTGAGTCATAAAATGTGTTTGCGATCTGCATAGGTATATCAGAAACTTCTCTAATTTTTATCAATGGATCGTTTGAATTATTATTCTCGCTGGCAAAATGTAGAATTGTGGCAATAGATACGAATCTGTTGCGGGACATAATATGCTTGAAGTATAGGGCTTGTGCTTTTATTTTTATTCCAATAACTTTGTATAGTACGCTTTTGTACTAAACTCATTAAAATATTGTATGCAATAAACGCTGATGATAAGTGACAATCATTATGAGCGAATTATTTTGCTTGCGGATGCAAATAGGTTAACTCTCAAGCTTCAATAATTAGTAAATATAAAAAAAATGTACATTCTTTTATTTCTTTTAGAAGTCATGTGAAAATAAAATTTGGGACTAATTTTTAGGACATCATAACTACATATGTACACTTCTTCCTAAAATCTACAACTACAATTTGACTCCAAAATCGAACGTCTTTATTAGTGTTGCCACAAAGGTGTAGAGAATGATTTATCGCTACAAGTCTATCGTTGTGTTTCGCTTAGATTAAAGAAATAAGTACACCAGGAATATGGTAAACAGCATGTAATAAGATATATAAAAACTTTATGAACACTTCAACACACTCCGAACCATATCATTAAAAACGTATGTATGTATGTATGTAACCGTTAATTAGCGTCGCTACATCATTTATTAGCCGCACCAGTCTTGATTAACCTAAACTTAAGAGTGGTATGCTAGTTTAGTGTGTGATTATCGCGTCCGTGTGGTGGCGCTCTGACCTGGTGTACCATGGTTGGTGGATATATTTATTTACGTATTTGCCATAAAGAACGTAAATGATAATATTGTGTGCTAAAAAGTGCTACAGAGTTATGATACTTCGCAAAAGATAAATAACTTATGTTGTTATAGTTGATTTTTAAGAAAAATTCCACAATGAAATGACTTAGAAATCCGGTTCATATTTAGTTACTGAAAGAAACCTAGTAAATAAAAATAAATCTTTAGGATTCTCGCTACATTAAGTGTGAAGTTATTCTAGTAGTGTTCGTTTAGCTGCGGTATACTTAAGATTTTGTTGCTGTAGATATTGGGGGAGGTGAATTTCTATGAATTGTCGACTATTTCTTTTTCTCTGGCTCGCTCGCCTTTGAATGTAAGATATTGGGGTGGAGTGAGATTCGGAGAACTGGTAGGGATACAAAGCCTGCTGTATTTCGTTGGGGAGAGTCTTTAGAATAATTATTAAATTATGATTATGTATGTAATTTTAATATAAATGACTTTCTGTATCCTAGTGTACGCATGCTTTTTAATTGCTTTGAAAATTTTGTTTTCTTCTAATGTTCTTTGATAACAAGAATGCAATAATTAATAGTGTTTATGATGAATATAAAATAAATTGAATATAATAGCCTTTGGTATAACTAATACAGTTGATATCATAAACTTTGGGATATTTGATTATACTCAACACATTTATATTTGTATGTTTATTTCTTTATTAATGTAAGAACATTAGTTATTAGTATCAGATTATATTTACAAAATACAAGCTGTTTATTGTGCCTGTAAAATACCAAGTGTAAATTTTACATTGGATAAATCTACAGAAATACTGTATGATTGTGTAAAAGGTGCATTTGTGTATTTGTCCATTGAACATTTAATGTTATGGAAAATGTTTGTAATACTGTGATTGAAAATTCACCACCAATTGCTAAATTAATAGAGAAGCCTATTTATACTTTTGGTAAATCATTGCGTCAAGAATTTGACTATGTAGAAGTAAAATTGCCTATAATAAAAGAAGTATCACAGCAGGTTATACAAATTTTAATGTTTATACTAATTGTCTTATATACCATAAAATTTCATTGTTTATATTGTGTTTATTGTTTCAGCTAGTAGATATTACCGAATCTCTTGTATTAAAGGCCTTAGACCAGCTGTTAAGATGGTTACAAATTTAAAGGAAGAAACGAAACATAAGGTGGGAGTTACAATATAACTTGGTTACTATAAGGTTCATTATTTAAGGTTTGCAACAAGCAGATAGACTCATGTTAATTGAAAGAGGAATTAATATTTTGAAAGTTGACAGTATTACTGATTTTGTTGAATTAATGTTAGATTAACATTTACGTGTATCACATAAAGAATTTAGTACTGGTAAAACTGGTTAGGTGATATAATTGGAATATTATATTAAAAATATTGTAAAAGATATTTATGTTTAGTTTGTAATTAAGGGTTATTATTTATTTTTTATACAAACATTATTTGTTATACAAAACATGAAAATGCCAAGTTTTTTGCATTATGTTACAAAATATATTTACTTTGCCTTATTGAAATTGTAGCACATATATAAAATAGAAATTTTTCATCAATATTATATACTCTCATTGTTATTTCAACAATCAAATTCTTAGAATTAACATTATCTGTTATTGTTAGTTAATCAGTAATCTTATTTTTTATTAGAGCAAATGCAACCTATATTGTATCTATTTAATTAAGTACATAGTGTGTGATATATAATACTCAGTGCTTTATATTACAGCAAATGCAATATGCAGTATACCAAAATTTAGTTTAAAGTCTTGTTTGTTACCTTTATAACATTTTACAATAAAATTACTATTTAACAAAGCAATTGGTACAAATTTAAATAACATGATATAGTTGGTTTATTCCTTACAGAAGGTATGATAGTTAAGTGAGTGATATTTTAATAATAAATACACATCTATATAAACTGCTGCTCAAAAGAGTGGAGCAGTATTTATTATTTGGACAAAAGTTGTTTCATACAAACATATGTAGTAGTTTTATTAGAATTATTGTACTTATACGTTAAAGTAGCATTACACAAGTATGATCTAAAATTGAAATTGAAATAATGGTCTGACTGATCTCTTGTGGGATGAATTGTGCTGGAATATAAAAAAAAGTGCCCAACATCTAAAATAGATCTGCAGAAATATTTATAAGTGTGGAGCAATATTAAACCAGAAACAATTGAAAAATTAATTGCCAGAATGATGAAATTATGTGAAGTGATCATATAGAAAAAAAAGGATTCTTTTACAAAAAAACACTTTCCTAAATTTGTATTGTTTTTCTAAAAAATAAGTACAAAATGATTATATCTTTTACTTTCAATTATAATTAAGTACAGTTTCATTACTATAGCAGAATAATAGTTTCAATAAAACATTTATTTGCTTAAGGGAAACTTTATTTGTTTTGAAATCATAAGATGTTCCAAATTTTCGAGCGGTACGTATAATGTATATAATAATTAGCATGTCATTTACTTTCCGAAAATGATATGTTATAAAACACTTCCATTAATTTTCAATGTTGTAAACAAATTTTGCAATAACCCGTGACACTCAAACGGTTGAACATACATTCATGAGCAGCAACCGTTGAAATTGCCACGTTTTTAGCTGTCGGTACATTCAACGAGGGGTTTTCATTAATTCTGCATGTTTTTTTCTGTATTGAGAGTGACTATTGGCCAGCAAGCAAAGGTGTCTCCCGGCATGAGAGTTCGTCGACAGAATCTGCCAAGAAGGCTAGGCGTGCTTGTAGAGAAGAGAAATCAGTTGAGCAGGACTTTTTTAAACAGGAGGAAGGTCCACTGTATAGTCCTGGGCTGACAGATTAGTCGAAAGTATAACCATTTTCATATAAGGGGGTACGCCACCTTGTCCGCTTCAAAAGATCAAAAATTCTTTTTGTCTTTCTTTTGAAGTTTTGTATGGGTAGAATACTGTGATAGAAGGAATTTTTGAAATTTAAAAAGTTGACGAAGTTATAGCACTGAAAACGACTCTATGTTATGAAAGGTAAGACAGGCCGACGTAACGCTGTTAAAAGGGAAAGATTTTGTTTAGTCTCTTGTCATTAATATGACTTTTTACGTTTGCTTATCGAAATAATCTTAGGAAAACTACCTTATCGTACATTTTTAAATTGTATTAACAGAGTATATTGAACAATTGCTTCGAAAACATTTTGTAGCAAAAGAATAGTTAATCACTTTCAGTAGATGTGCTGTTATCACAGAAACTAGAAAAACCAAAAAATTCCTATTTTTTGTAAGAAAATTGTCGAAAAAATCGACAATCAAACCTCAAAGTGCCCCCATTTTTTAAATTTTCAATATTTTTTTTATCCTAGTTCACACAATAGCCACATTCATACTAATCAAGAATCTTTTTGGCTTTTTCAGTTTGGATAAGTAGTATCTCTGGAATCATGTCAGCCGGTAAGACACCTTTTTTTTTAAAAAGACCATACTAAATAACTTATGATTTTGTCAATTTTTATTAATTTTACTTAAAAGAAATGGTGAATATTCTTAAAACATGAATGCGTGCAAAAAATCAATACTAAAATGTCATGGTTTCTTTGTAAAAAAATCTGGAAAAAGACCTAAAAAATAGCGCTCTAGACTAGAATACCCCCTGAAAGTGAAATGATGGTTAGATGACTCTTTTTTCAGGTTGCCGGCGGATGAGTCGCGTCCCAATCAGCTCTGGTACCAGTCTGGAGAACCAGCAGAGTGTACAAAGTCGCTCCTCCGTTCAATCCTGTAACGAGGCAGGGGTCTTCATAACTCTCCGTCGCAGTTTCACCGCAAAAGTGTTATTTACAGATGAAGTAACATTCAGGAGATGTGGAATGATTAATCCCCACAAGGGTCATGTCTAGGCCCACGAAAATGAAGATGCTGCGATAGAATGCAATACGCAGAGGCAATTTTCCTTGACCGTTTCGGCAGGAATCTTCTAAACGATAAAATTACCAGCTCTGTAATTTTGCTCCCCCCTCCGGTTAACGGGGCAAGCATATCTCAATTTCCTACAAACCAAGCTACCAGAACCATTAGAAGAAACTCCATCTGTAAAGTGCCTGTTAATGAGGGTAATACTTTTTTTGTGAATACTCGCGAACTTCACAATCAAAGTGCATATGTATGTGGACTTTTCTGTGAATTTTTCTATGGACATTCGTGGTATGTGTAGAGTTTTCCATGGGCATGTGGAACTTTCCTGTGGATATTTACGGTGTGTACGTTTATGGATTACTTATGCGGGCAAGCTTGTGTACCGGATGAAACATGAATCCTCTCTACTCGAAAATCTCATAGGGCGGGCTTTGATGTGCCTTTGTGGATTTCGGCGAGTAGCTAGGTTTAATGTTTATTCTACGATTTCTTCTTATAAAGTACCCGCGGGATCGTCTGCGACGCTGAGTTCTCTTCCGCAGCTGTTCCGAAGTAAGCTGCTATCTGTGCGACGTTATTTTTGGCGGTGACGGTACCAGTGTCTCCTGACCGACTCTACACCGGCCGGAGTGTGGATATTTACTGTGCCTGAGAGATATTTTAGCCGATTGTTTAATTAATTGCTTATAAATAAAACACTAAGTCTCAAACGCAACTTCGTTATTCTTAATTTCCTTCTTATTTTGGCTTTTCACCTTTGTTCCACTGGTTATTGAATACTCTGTTAAGCTATTTATACTGATTAATAAGTTCCATCCATCTAGTACAAAATCAATATTCTAATTATTCTGTAGACGTTGAGATATATGATGCGCAATGGATTTATTTATGCAAATAGTGACCTTTTCACCATAATGTATAATTATGAACTATGGTTGGCAGAAATAAATTTATAATTAGGTATAGTGAACAATATTGACAAGGTTTCAGGGTTTAGCCATGTTTGGGAATTCTCGAGGGCTTTAAAACGCGACGACTAAGTCTACATTTCCGACGCTATTTTCGCGTGAATTTCAAAATGGTTGTTCAATTTTCAAAGTTTTCGCTTGAATTTCGAGATTTTTTCGATATTTACGCGTTCCTAGCAGTTTCTGGACTGAATTTATTTAAGGTTTCAATGGAATATTGTGTAAACAATGAGTTTTTTGTAAAAAGAAATGGACGCGGTGTGTAAGGGAGAAATAAGTAGACTGTAAAATGCTGCAAAACAATACTGGTATATTGTAACCATTTGTAAAATACATTTTGTGATAAATAATTGCATTTCTCCATTTTTCCTGATGTTGAAGTCCATTCCCTGATTTCTATGGTGTCCAGGAAGGCCCATCCGTAATTCATACGAAAAGAACATTCATTTTTCAAATTTTTAATAAAAGTTATAAACAATTTCTGATTAATCTACTGAATACAATAGTTCATTCAATGCAAAATTAATATATTAAGCTGTATTATTCAGTTAAAGCATACGATAATTTTATTTAAAACTTCCAATAATTATAAACAACCATTTAAATTGTTATTTGACTGGAAACATTAATTATTCTATAATTAAAGTATTCGAAAATAAACCAGAAATTTTATTTTACTATCTACATTATTAGTAATGTTAAAGCAATTAAAAATTGATCATAAGTATCAATTAAATATAATAGGGATGATGAGGATAGCACTAGAGAAATGAGTTAGACAAGGAAAGGAATATGGTTAGACAAGAATAGAGAATTTTTCAGGGTAGCGGATTGCCACGTAACGCGATCTACCTTATCAACTCACTTATAGTATAGAATCATAGTTACAATAAAACAGAATATTTTAGTCCCTTCGAGAACACTTAATTAGGCACACCACGTGCAAGCACAACCGAGTTCGGGAAAGAATTAGTTTAAACAGTCACGGGCTTAATATAAGGAGTTTTTAGAACTGCAGCAACTCTCCTACGTTTTGCCACCAGAGGGACAGATTAACCACAAGTTCTCGCTAGTACTCATAAAGGCTCCTATTTTCTTAGACTCTGCGCGACGTGGTCGTCTTTTCTCCCTCCAAGTTTGAGGAAATTGGAAGAAACATGTTGATTGGTTTCACCCGAAATGTTAATTATCCAATCAACATGCCTCTTCAAGGTGGCGACCACCCTTCCGTACGCCCTTGGCGCGTTTCGTTTAGGAAGAGTGGGGCGATACCTGTACGGACGCGAGTACTTGGATGTCCGGCGATGCCGCGGTCCTTCTTCTGGGTTTTCCCTGATCGAGGGGGAAAGTTCCGTTGTCGATGTACCCTTCGGAAGAACCGAGTTTATGACGAGACTAGGCTCTTTCGGACGAAGAAAAATTAAATTTCGCCTCATTGTTCGAGGGTTATATTTGCCCATCGGTATAAAAAATA